GTCAATTATTTTAAATCCACGAGTATTGGTCTGGCCGGGGCTTGAACCCTTGACCTCCCACACAACACAATCCTTCGCTCCAACTAATTGAGCTAACCTTGTCATTCCTCGTCCAAAATTCTCCCATTTTACTGTGATCTTTCTTTGGTTTTCCTGCATGGGTCTGTGAGAGCTTGCTTATTCTGCAGATGCTTCTATATGTTGCCATTTAAACTAAGTATTCCTCAGCATGGATATCTTAGTTTTTGCAAACACTGATGTATTTTACAGTATGTCGAATATGGCAGGGCATGCAGAGGTCTTTGAACTCCTTGACTCCTACAAGTGATCAAAAACGAATTTCTCCTTACAATATCAATATAATATTAAGCAAACAAGTGATGAGAATTAAGAAAAATATCAATTAGGGGATTGTTAGTTAGTCCAATACCAAATTTTCTGAATAACTATAATAAGAATTGCATGGCAGACAGTAAGGGGAATTATTCATGAGATCTTGTGTGTAAAAGGATTATCAAAAGGGTTCATTTAACAAGTGAAGGTCGTTGTTTTGTGAAGAACAGCAAGAAATCCAAGAGGAAAAACTGTGACTATATATGCAGGCATGAGTTCCGAAGATCTAGACTATTAGCAATCCATGTTTTTCAAAAGTCTGTCACACAAGTCACAAAGAATCACCCCCCCTAGAATTCACTCTAGTACCACATGTGGAATTCTCTGTTTCAATTTTTTGGCTGATTGATTTGACTCGTGCGATGGACTTTAGCAAAAAGGAGGAACTGCTGGTGGTCTATGATGAATGGAGCCAAACGTATCTCTTTACCCAAGGAGCCTTATATTTTGTTTCAATTTCAGATGATTGATCTTGCCAAAGTGGGAGATGAAGAAACTATTAACAGCTGGATTACAGTAAGTCTCTCTAATTTACACTTAATGTTGGGCTGGAAGACCTTTAGCAGGTCACAGTGTTACCGAAAAAAAAATGGAAATGGTCCAGATATGCCACAGTGTTCATATGGGTCGAGGAAAAGCTGGAAAGTTCTGGAATAATATTTCAACATTTTCCAGGACTGGAAAGTCCTGGAAAGAGACTACAGGTCCTGGAAAGTTCTGGAAATCTGCATAACTCAAGAAACAAAGTTTTCAGAAAAATTTTATAAGAAATGTATGTACACCATAAGACTTGATTTTGAAGTCTTGGGAATAAATGGATATAAAGGTGAAATTTCGAGCTCTGGAAAAATCAATCTGAGTGCTGGAAAAGTCCTTGAAATTTGTTGATAACCTTTATTTAAATTGGTATTCCTATTTTTTTTCAACAGAAAAAAAATTTGATACCTAAGGTGTTTGGGCATCTCTTACCACGATACGAAAACCAAGTAAATGGTTACACAAGAGTTTACAAAATACCGCCACGAAAGAGGGATATGGCCAAGATGGGCATTGTGGAATTTGTTGGAAATGATCTGCCTCCCTTGTTACCATCTGAGGAAGAACTGAGAAAGTTACAACTGCAAAAACTGACAGAGTTGACCCCCAAGGGGATCCCCTCTGAAGGGACTCCTGTGTAAATTAATAACAGGAACCTGTTGATTTTGGTTAAATTGTATGGTTCTACTGTAAATGCTGTGATAAGCACTACCCCAAGGGGAGTAGGGAGGGGTGTCATTGAGGTATCAATTTGTAAAGTTCTCTGTGGAGGGGAGGGGTGGGTAAAATAAATTGCAGAGGAGAGAGCTTCTTGATGGGAGTCTTTACTTTTTTTACAGTCAACCAGTTTTATTTATTGAATTCTGTGCATGGTATGTACTTTCATGTTTTTGTTTTAAAAGGCTGACATATTTAAGAAAAAGACTCAGACAAAGCCTTTCAAATACTAGTCTCTTTTATCCTGCAAATGAACAACATCCCCTGGGGTTGTCTTGATTGACTTTCTTCTAGACTGCTTGTTTTTCCTTTCATTCATTTTATTCAAAAATTTCGTTTTGTTAGAGATAAAAAAAAAAAAAATAAGTAAATGAAAAAAACTTATTGTTTTGGGCAAATGATGTATCTTGACCATTCCACACCTTAGAGTGTCTAGCAGCTAATTTCTCTTTGAAACATCACCCCTGAATTACACTTAAAGATCATGAGAATAAAGAAAATGCAACCTCGTGCCCAAGGTCTCTTATCTTCCCCCACCCCTCCCCCCTCCTGGAGCGAGAGAAAAGAGACCAGCCTAAACCAGGGGATGGGAAGAAGAGAGACCCTGGGAACGAGGTTGAAGGAAATGATCACCGACTGGAGAAAACTCTTGATTCTTAACCAAATTCTCCTGGTCAGCACCTTAGGAAATGTATAGAGAACAGTATGGAGAATATGCACACTGATGTAAGGGTATGAAGAGTTAAACATTTTTCCTGAGAAATACTGTACCCGCTTTCTGAAACAAATAGGCTTGAAAACGAAAAGCTCCACTGAGGGAACCCGCTATCTTGTTGCAGCTGGTGAAATTCTCCACACCGTGGATATCGATTAAAAAAAAAAAGCTGAAAATCCTGAGGTGTTCCAATTTTGCCGCACTCGGGTGAAGAACGTTATTGTGGATCGTTATCAAAGTCCTTCGTTTCTTAAATGAGTGCAGAGTGGCTTCAAATGAATTTGAATTGATATCCGATGCCCTTGCCTTTCTAATTTAAACTTTCCAAAACCCACACGGCTGTTAAATTTTTCGTAAGTAATCCTTATAAAACACTAGATAAACTATACTTAGATGGTATGGTGTACTAATCGAAATTGAAAAACTTTTCGTCCAGAAAAAAAAAAAAAAAAGCTTTCTATATCTATTAACGCCGCGCCGCTGCTAAACTGAAGATTGCAATTACTTTGAGAGTCTTACCCTTGTTTATTTGAATTCGGATATTTCACTAATAACAATTTCTCAGAATTTTGATATTTGATCGTGTTTCTTCTTTCTCCTTATATTCTTTTTTTTTCCCCTTTTTTGTCTTTGGCAAAAAGCGTTCCTTTATCGTTCGTTTTCCCGCACTACTTCTTTGTACAGTCTGAAAACAAAGGAAAATTTCTAGAAGTGCTATCGGCCATTATTTCACACATGCAATTTAGCGTATAAAAACCCTTTCAAAACCATACGATACGAACTTGGATTTTTCACACGGATATTAAATGGAATCGTTCCATTTAGCTTAGATGACTCTGATAATTTCTTAATGGACTTTTTTAGTGTCTCGTCCAGAAGTCAATAAAGAAAGTTCCTTTAAAAACTTAACACAATTGAGAAGTCACCATCATCAACGTTGCCTAAGAAATCATTAACGTACTCAAATTTCCAGACTACTGTTATAAAAATGTGTACATTAGCTTCAGAATTGTCAACAATGTGGAAAATTGCGCGTAAATGGACTGGAAAGCAATTGTGTTGTTTGCTTTTGCCTCGAGACCTAATAACTTGAGCATATCCGCGTTCAATAATGTGCAGAAACATCTCGATAAGAAGCTAAATGAAATTAAATTTTTCTTGCTCTAAAGAGCGTCGAAAACATGCCCGCTGGCATCAGAGAACTAGATGATTTGTGAAAACGAATTAAATATTGTAAGAAAATGGCTAGCAGTTGATATTCAAGTGATAATCTTCGGTAGAGAGGAACCTGATAAAAAAAAAATACATAATTTATAAGAAAAATATATCAAGCTTTGTCTTGTTTGGCAGGTGTAATTTATTTTGGTTTTAAAGTGGCTTCCGGACTTAGGAAGTCTTAATAAGTTGCTGAAAAAAGTTCTAACATTGAAAAGCGAACGATCCTCTGAAACAAAACAAGGAAATTTGCCCTTCAAAAGATTTAGGACTTTTCAATGGGCGCGAAGTCAGTGAAACTCATGTTTTTTTTCCATCCATTGATCAAGTTCTTCAAGGCTGGTTTTTGATTTTTCTTTTTTTTCTCTTTCTGATATACAATTCCTTCCGTCGTTTACTAACTACGAGGCAGAAATTTTCAGGTTAAAAGTGAACTGATGTACTTGTTTGCATGAATGACTGACAGGCTTTTCCAGGATCAGAAGAAATAAGCAAGGTAGAAATCAGTGAAAGGTATAGCTACTAGGAGCTCCGTCCGATTATGGAAAATTCGACGATTTTTCACGATTGCTCGCAACAATCCTTCACCGTTTCAACGAGTGCTCTGATCACCATCCTTTCGCTGTCGGGAGTTTGTGGAATTGCAGCGATTTTGTTAAATATCCTGGTCATTTTGGTGATGTTTTACAAACCTGCGCTACGGTCCATGACAAACTATTGGATTGTTTCTCTCGCCGTGGCCGATTTGCTTATTGCGACACTGGGTGTTCCTGTGTGGTGTTTAAAACTCCTTCAAAAGACACGGTTTATTGAGGAAAAAGTGCATAACGTGTTTTCGGTTATAGTAGTTTTGACGCTAAGCGCTTCCTCATTGAACCATCTAGCGTTAAGTTATGACCGCTATATTGGTGTGACTGCGCCATTTCAATACCGAAGCAGACTGACACCACGAAAGTGTGGGAAAATTATTGCAGTGATATGGACCTTGTCCCTTTTGTTGGCATTGATATCACTGAAAAACAACTGTAGCATATCAGGAGATGGACATTTTGCCCTCTTTGTGGCAATCTTCGGTATTCCATTGATGTTTATTTGTTATTTCTATATGCGTATCTTCAAGGAAGCCAACAGGCAGAAAAGACTGATAAAAATCCAAGAAACCTGTTCAAATCAGTACCAGCCGTGTTTCCTAAAAGAATACAAAGCCGTCATGACTGTTGCCATGGTGACGGGTTCGTTTGTACTTTGTTGGCTTCCTTGTTTGATCGATTCGGTGATTCACCTTTCAGCGCCAAAAGTTTGGGCTGACACCCAGTTATGGCTCGGCACAACCACCCTGGCTTGTTTTTCTTCGGTGTTAAATCCCATTTTATACTCCGTGCGGATAAAGGCGTTCAGAAGCACGTTCCCAATTACAATAATTTTCCCGAAGGTTAAGCGAAATTCAGTCAGTATTACCCCTCACACTGTTTGACAACTATAACTGGCGGGCTTCTCTGATGTATACGGTATGCGAGACACTCAGAGGCCAATTTAGTTAAGCCTTCATTTAAATCTCACAACTTGAGAATTGTAGTGAATCTAATCTCCTCTCAGTCGCTGTAATTAAACTTCTTTAAACGCCGTACACTTTCCATCCAGAGAACTGAATATTTCATAAGGAAAAAAGAAGTCAATTTCAAAGGAGGGTACTTCCGCACGCAACAGTTACATGACGCGGCACTTTTTGTGATTAAACACTTTCTCGCGCGTCACGAATTTAAAAAAGAAAACCTCAAATCTCATTGTACCTTGCTTGTCTGTAAAATTCATGTGTCACGTACAAGTTTAACATTTTTTTGTGCGTCACGAATTAAAAGCATGTCTGTGAAATTCACGCGTCACGACATAATTCAACCACGGTTCACGAATCAACTCTAAGGAGTGTGGAAGTCGAATAGAGAAACATAAACTAGGGCAATCATCGATCGGGTTTACTAGTGATAAAAGTCGGAAAACACCTGCAAGACATGTACAGGCTGCAATATATGTCAAATGAACATGGTTGCGAACCAATTGTAGTGTGACATTAATTCTTTTAAGAATAATGAAAGTTACTGAGGAGACCAGCATGCGAAATGTTGAAGCTTTAATGGGTCAAACGGAGCAACTTTTAGTGATCTATAGCTTTGGTGAGGGCGTACGGAGAGCATGTGAATTCTTCGCTGAAAACGTCTTAATTGTTTGCTTTTAGTTTTCCTTCGTTATGTCAGAGCCTAAGATTTTATGGCGTGGGCAAACTCATTTCATCACAGGCTTCCTTTCAAATAGGTAGTTTGTGTTAAATATGGGTGAACACTTTCCTATATGATGTAATAAAAATTTGAGTAAATTGCAGCCGGCTGGAAATTTGTCATATATATATATATATATAACTCAAACTTAACTTTAAAGGTAAATTTATAGCAATGTCTAAGAATTTGTCCGAAATGTAAATAGTTGTCTATTAACTCAGGGAAATAATTCGTTTTCGAAGAATAGTTTATCAGTTTTTCTCTTTATCTTTTTGCTAAAGCTTTTAATTTTTTTTTAAACCTACTTGGTTGTGTGTGTTATCCTCTAAACGAATTAGCTATTAAAAGACACAAAACAGCGTGAATTTATAAAAGCATGACTATTTTAGGCTTTAGGTTACAAGGATCGCCAAATCGCCACAAGGGTGATTTGACAAAGTTCAGTGTTTGTTGCCTAGTTAAAGAGCTATCGCCCTCAAATTTGGCGAAAATAGCAAAGCAGTGGATAAAAGCAAAACGCCAGCGATAGAAAGCGAAGATAGGAAGAGGTTACGAGAAAACTTTTTTTGTAATGTCAATGGTTTACAACTGTCATTTTTCAAAAGAACTGCCATTTCCATCTGCATACTTGAGGCCACTTTCAAAGCATCTTGAGTTGCAAGCAGTTACTTTAGCCGGCCCATTCCCACAGCAAAATCCGAACCACACCGAGTAAGACTCAAATTTCCCAGGCTCCTTGGCACGACTTCTGTGAACTCAAACCAATTCGCTCAGTTCCCGTCAAAGTGATTAATGGTGTACAGATAATGTCAGTATTATTTCTTTCGCCTTTTAGTTTGTTTTTCTTTGGATCGGAAATGTCTCTTCGCCTGAAAAATACAAACAGAGTGATAACAGTGTTACTGTAGATTCTATATTATAATTGTCGTTGATCAAAGTAAGACCTCAAGTAAGGGCGCGTAACGAATCGACCCAAGCTTCCCTCCCTCAGGTTTTAAAAGCTCTAGAGTAACTCCAGAAATGCGGTCTGAAAGACCGGCCCAAAATGCAAGAGACAGACCCGACAAATCAAGGGTAACTTTCTCAAGACGCACAACCCAAAGGCGTGCACCTTTAAAATTGCTCCTAATTTCACAATGATCCCTTGCCCTGGCTTTCAAGATCATACGCGAAGAGGTAAGGGATAAATTTTCCTATCTACCATTTTTAGCAAGTATTGGGCTTCGCCGCACGCGCTGCGAACTCCGCTATGAGACCTATAATTAAGGATATGTGATCTCCAACACGAGAGACATGGGAAGTGCGGGGCACCCATGAAAAAAGAATTTTAAGACCTTTTAAGCAGTTTTAAAAATAAAAAGAGGGAAGCCCCAACCTGTTCACTTGTTTGCCCCACTTTCGGAATATCACCCTCCAGGTTAGCAATGTTCACGTTGGCGCCGTGTTCAATAAGTAATTTCACCATCGGCTCCATGTCCCGGCCGCTAGCCGTGTGAAGCGGAGTGTTTCCCGCGAACGTCACTTTATTGACATCAGCTCCACGTGATATCAAGTACTCTGCCACGTGATGTTTTCCAGCCTCCACTGCGTGATGCAAAGCTGTGCGACCACTGTTGGAATCCTTTGGAACATGAAGAGTTATCAGTTATCAAGTGTTAATGTTTTACTCCTTTTACTTTACGTCAATCTCAACCACCACGATGCCGATGAAAGCTCAAAATAGAGAAAGATTAAGGTTGTTCCGTGGCATCGCATTGCGCATCCTCACTGCGCATAATTTCACACGTAACTAGAGAGCGCACATTACAAAATGGCGGCTTTTTCTCCATGGTCGGAGCTTACCACAGAGGTAACCAATTTCTGGTAAACGAGCGCGGTGACCTTTATTTTTTTAAACCTTTTTTTATTGAGCAATGACTTTCTTTCTAATGAAAACCAAATGTCTGATAGGAAAGGGAGAAATTTTCGGAAACGCTTATTTACCAAGTACTCAATAGTGTAATGGTCATGATATTAAAGGAACTATGTAGTTATCTACAAGGTACTGCTTTTCCTAAATAAGCACTTTTTTATTTCAAAATTTACTTTCCTCGGTGACGAGTGGAGCATACAGAGGTTTTGCGGCTATTCGAGATAAGTGGAGGTGCATAACTGCCGCTCAGATCGAAGAGAAACCGGAACCCAAATAGAAAAAAAAAAAAAAAAAAAAA